CAAGACCCACTTTATCCTGAGAGGGTTACTATGACCCAGAGGACCATGGAACACACAGTGGGACAACACCCTGGACGTGATGCCAGTCCATGACATGACACACCCACTGTCACGATTGTGATCCTTCCTCTTAAGGGCCCTCCAGCTCTTTCACATTTTACTTGATCATGTGCACCTGTCCCCAGTCCTGCCCCTCCTTAATTAAGCTGGGCGCTCTCGCTACTCCTAGCTCAGCATTGGAAGACGGACGCCCGGAGGCCCAGCTACCATCAGGTCTGCCTACGCCCACGGCTTGAGGGCAGAGGCCTCCTATTGGTGTCCTGACCCAGCTGAGTCCGGGGCTCAAAGCGCTTGGTCCCGTTATCCCCATTTTTATTCCCTCTCCCAGCTCTGGATCCTGTTTTTAACTGTCTTCTTTTCATCTCGTCTGGATTTCCCGGTTTTGGACTCTTGACTTCGCCCCAGATTTCCCCTTTGGACTCCATTGGACTTGTTTGCCTTGGTCACCCCCCCCGAGCACCAGTTCACCATCGACACGCCCCCCTGTTTGTCTGCCAGGCCTGTTCCTAGTCTTCTTTCCCTGTGTTTGTCGCACTCCCTTCCGGATTCTGCCTTCTGCAGAGGGTCCTGATAAAGTGTCCGTGACACCCACACCGGGGCTGGGAGGTAGTTCATGTGAAAAGCATGTCTGTGGACTGTCAGAGGAAACTAGAGCACCCAGAGAAATCCCACCTAAGCACACAAGAGAACATGCATACTCGAGTCTAAACAGAAGGGTACTGGAATTGAACACAAGAATCAAAGGTCTGTGAAACATCCACATCACTATGCTGCTCAACATGCATGTATTCATCAATGTCGTAGATGTCAACATATATTGTATATTGACCTGCCTGAGTTCAACATGTTGGTGGTAAAATATATAATCACATTGTTGCTTCTTGCTTTTAACACATATTAGTGCTGTTTGAGCACTGTCTCATTTAACCCATTTTTAGGGTGTCTGTGTCCAATGGCCACATCATCTTCTGAACTTTTTACAGACCTGCATGTGTGAAACCTTTTCCTTTCCAGTATCTTCTTTTTCCAAAGCAACCTTCATGCATCCCTGCATTCAAGCCAGGATTTGAATGGCTGGATTACTAAAAGCAGTTGAGTAAAACTGCTGCTCATACTGTTAACGTTTTAAAGCCTTAAGCCGTTTGCAAGTGGTGTGAACATTTAGTCTTATGGGAGATGAGTCTTGTTCGAAGCACCTTTTATTTTACCAAAGAGCTCGTCCCACATCCCAAACAAAGATGCCTATTGAGTTAGATACATCTCAAATGGAAAGAGAAATAATATGACACAGGGACAAGAAAGTCTTCATGCCAAAACACATCTTTCATTTTATTTTCAAGGCACTTGATTCTGACGTACATGTGCCTAATGGCTGCACTCTACTACCCTGTGTGTGGCATTGTGGGAACCTCTGTGGCATCATTAGTCCATGGTGCTGGGTAAAATGAAACTCTAGTTTAAGGCAGGAGCCCGTTCCCATTAATAGACCAAATCTGGCCTTTCAGCAGAAGCATTATGTCCTGTTCTCTGCTGTAGGATATTAGTCAGTGTAGCACTATGAGTACAAACACCAGAATAGACCTGAGGAAGAACAGATGTCACAGCACATTAATATAAAGCTCTTCAACTCTCCTCGCTCCGACTTTAAAAAGAGCTCAGGATATGGTTTTTTTTTATTTGACAGATCGCTCTATACGCCCATCTGACTATAATGGGATATGCGAATGTTAATTAGCTCTGACCGCTTCACAGCCTTCGACAGAAGCACCTAAAGAGACGTCTAATATTGCTTCATGTGTTTTTAATGAAACCAAGCAGCCACAGACAGCTCACTTTCGTGGTATATACCTTAGCATTGTCTCATGCTTTGAATACACATGCAAACACCACCCTCCGGAGTCCAGAGAGCTAGGAAAATGTTACAAGAGCTGCAAATAATGATTCTGCAACTGGTATGACTGACACTACTGCTGCCAGCGTGACTATTATTGCATCCCTAGTCATTACTGCCCCTTAGAAAATAAGACCAGTTACAAATGAGAGGAGGCCATAGCTCTTGTTTGCTGGATCCTAATTAATTTCACCCAGCCACTGCTTGAACAACTCCTCCACAGAGTGCCTCAGTAGCTAGTCCTAATCTTCCACAGTCCCGTTTGCAAAGAAGTCCTGTACCTCCTAGATTTTACTTGGGACATCTGCCTCATATCCGTCCTTTGGGTTTACTTTGGAAATGCCCTTTGAGCTACTGATCCGGGACCCCTCTTCTTCTCCTCAATTCAAGACCACAGGGAGCCTACAAGACAGTTTCTTGTAGGACATGCACTGCTGCTACTGAGCACATTTTCCAGATATTGTTGCGTGTTGTTATGGTCGTTGCTAAACTGTCTGCAGTTAAGCAAACGCTAAACAACACTCACTCTTATGTTTGACGCTCATAGAGCATCACTGTCAATCAGTGCAAGGCTGGACACTGCTAGCCTGAATATAACTCAATGTTCTGAGCGCAAAATTCCAGCATTTTGAGGAGTTTATGTAATAATGGATTTTTTTTTCCTGTTTGTAAAGGCTTAAGAAATGTGAAAATAAAACATTTGGAGTAGACCTGCAGGCTTTATCTCCCATCTCTTTTAATGTGGAGTTAGTACATCAGGATACGACATGGCCTGCTAAAAACAGCAGTTAAGGTTCTTATAAATGGCTGACATGGGATCCTGTTATTCACTGGGATAAAAACAGGGAATGTTAGGATTTTTATGCTTTAAAAGTAAGTGATATGCATGTTTGCCCTTGAAGGCGTTGAGACACCCCAACTTTCCTTGTTTTCTCAGTTGTAACCCTTAGACTAGCAGAGGAGTCATTAGCTGTGTGCCCAGATCCTCCAGAGACCAGATCGGCTCTAATGAGATAATGACAGTAGCTGGTGGGCGAGATATACACTCAAGCACCGTCCCTCAGTTTGCATAGCAAACGTGTCCTCTCCAGAGCAGAAAACTTGAACTCAGCTATTCTTTGGAATCCAATATCGAGCCGTCAGTGGGATCTTTTAGTTTCATGTCTGTTACACTTCCGTTTACCGGTATTTTATTATCAGAATCATACCAAGTATGCTAAAAAGATTAAATATCAATGGTAAAATGATGTTTTTTTGTTAGTTTACGGGAGGCTTTGCTAAATGAGCATTCTTAGTTCATAAAAACAAGGCTGTTCTTCTAACTTCTGGGTTCAAAATGAAATTGTCCCCGTTTAACCCGCAGTGTGCTGTTGTTTTAAAAAGTAGGCAACTACAGATAACGGAACCTCCTCATAATTCAGTACTAGAACCAGTGAGTAAAACGGGAAGCCGAAGAAAAATGATGAATTCTGATCAAAACACGTGCTGCTCATAACCTGTGTAAATAAGAGTTCTATTAAAGTACTCTACACTGCGCTAGTTTCCCAGCCCCCTGTCTCTTCAGGACTACGGACCGCGCAGGATGTCGGACGATGCCATCGTTAATGCTGACGGTCTCGGCCGAATCGGCGGTATTCAGGCGGATTAGGCATCGAGGCACAGGGCACTTTCACGGGTTCCCCGGGTTTCACATTTATGCGTGATCAGCCTGTCGGGTTTGTGGGAAACATCAGATGTGGTCTTTGGAAAGGGAATTTAATAGGCGATTTCTGAACCGATTTCTGGCGGTTAGAGACACGCGTCCTTAAAATGGGGAAAACGCCTAGTGTGTCAGTATCCGAGTCAGAGTGTGGGGTGTGTGTGTCAGTACCCTTAGGTATATAAACACAAATTCTCGCCTGTGGTGGGCCCAAATAAACCGGAGCATAGATTGCACACATAGCTCCCTTCCCTAGATGCAAACATAAATCAGCGACGACCTCTTCCTCATCGGCAATGAGGAATTGAAAAAAACAACTAGTGCACACGCCTTTCTGAATGTTTACAAGTGCGCACCCACAGCACGGGGCCGGCTCGTGTCATTGCCATTGTCTTGACTTTCACCTTAGCGCGGCGGGAGCACCGGAAACGCGGATTCCAGGGCGAACCCCAGTTCCCTTGATGGAAGTTTAATGAGTCACCCTACCGGCTCCCTCCACCCTCCCCAGCCGGCCTCCGGCTCAGCCCCTACGTCCAATGATTATTGTAACCCGCATTACTACAGGAGCAATGATACCGTGCGCTGCTATACAAAATAGCATGAGCCGCAGTTCTGCTGCTAAATGAAACCACTTGCTTGCTAGATATCACCTTAACGTGCGCATAAGACAATTCATGTATTTCCCGGTCATAGGACTGTCGTTCCAGCTGTGCAACGATTACACTAGACCTTGGGGACAAAGACGTGCTGGGGTTGTCGCTAAGGTTAAGATCAGCTGTGTCAAAGCACTGCAAACGCGTACCGGTGTATCTGATTCACGGATCTCGGTTTATATCGGCGTGTAGGCTGGACATCTCCTTTTCATTCTAATTTGACAAGCGGGGTAAAAGACAAGATGCTACGGAATTATTTACAGACAACGACAATATGCCCATCACCCCTTGAAACATCCAGGAATTGGATATTTGCGATACCTATTGTTATGAGACGAGACCGAACGCGCCGCAACCAAATGAGCTTTTTTTTTTTCTGAGAGAGGATTTAATGACAGGCCTGCTTTCAAATTCGATATCCTCATTTGACTAAAAAAACATAGCCTTTTACATTGATTCAGCAATATCATTAGCCGCGGCGTACAAAAACCGGTTGCGGGAGACGGCACGGCTTACGGCAGGGTGACGAGAGGGAGACGGGGGACAGACCGAAATGACTGCAGTAGTACCGAGCAGGCCGGTGGCTGCATTCCCCACACACTGAAACACACACCCCGGGTACTGCCACACTTTGCAGCTTCAGTGCCATTTGGCCGAGGAGTCCTCCGATAGTCATGCAGGCTGGAGCCGAGCTTACCTCCCTTCTCCAAATCCCCGGCCGAGATCCCGCAAGCCGCCACTCGTGTAATCTATATCAGCGAGCGAAGAAGTCGGATTCACGGGTTGAGCCTGCTGCCGCTTCCTCCCGGCAGCATCCTGAGCCCGGCTTTCGGCTGTCAGGCTCGCCACCAATGGCAATATACAGAAAAACACGGAACCATAAACACACAGGCGAAGCCGCGATGTGGACTGCAAAGAAGCTTGTGTACCTCTCCCCCCCACGACTCAATACCCTTGTTTAATGCGTGACAGAATTCCCAGCCGGCGTGCTCAATCGACCTGTGCGAAGCGCACACACGCTCCCTGTGCTTTAAACGACGCTACGAGCGACACGGCATCTGTGCCAAGCATCCCGTCTCCGAGAGAGAGAGAGAGTGGGAGAGAAGGAAGGAGCAGCCAGCCACGTCTATTTCAGACCGCTTTGGTTCGCTCAAAGCGGCGCCTCACGGAGGGGGAGATTTGGATTCGGGAGTGCGCGGTGGAGCATCCGCGAGATACTGTACGTGAATCAAAGGAGACGAGCCGCCTTCACAGGTGTGAGCTATGCACGCGTATGCGTGCAGGGTAGGGTGCGTGCACACATTGCCAAAAGACTCTTCTCGTATTTCCATAAAGAGCTCTTCCCAACTGGGCTGAAGACGCCGAGCTTAGCGCTTTTTCTCTTTTCTCGGCGGGCGCAGCGCTGGGACGGCACAGAATTCAGAAACCTGCCGAGTTCTGTGGGCCGGCCTGTCAGTCGCCGTCAGAGGAATATTTTGCTACCGGGGTTTTACCTGTCTCGGCGGCAGAATGCAATTGTGGTACTGCTATCAAGCAGCGACTGTTCCGCTTGTCGGTGATGTGCGCTCCCGCAAGACACGCTTTGTACAAGCACAGGATCAAATAAATCAGTCATTTCACCTCCCCCACCGCTGTCGCCTCTACAAAAAAAAAAAATCCCTCAGCTGGAGGCACTGAATGTATTCCCAAGTAGCTACCATTTTCTGTCTTTCATCGCTCCGCATGTAAGCGGGACAAGGACCTGGAAGCGACAGTTAAACGTCAGCGACTCGTCCTTACGGAATAGGTGAAAACACCTTTTTTTTTATTCCTGCGGGACTGAATTGATTTTCTTATCAACACACATAATGTCTTTTCATCAGTAGCCCTGCCTCTGATATTCTCTCGCATGCTGTGATAGAAAACACGCTATGCGTTTCAATATTGGATACGTCGAATTAAACGTTTTTAAAAATCCAACCGCGAACATGAACACTTTAGTTCATTCACAAAAAAAAAAGCCTTAAGAAGCGACTTACTATAAAATACTCTTAAACCTCCCCGTTCAACAGCTAGCATTGTATTGCATTATCCGTGTTAATTGCAGTTACCTACATTGAAGAACAGACACCGAATTAGCAAACTACTGTAATACCGTCTCAATGTGTAAATGAGTATTGCTTTCTAAGCTAGCAAATCACGCAAGCAGACGCTTCAAAGAACCTGTTCCATACAGTTTTAGGTGCACTTTTCATAAATGAGGATAGAAAAGTATTGATCAGAATATCTTTACGAATTTAAACCAGAATATATATGAAAAGCCATGTGAGCTGGAATAAATACCAGACACTGAAGTAACGAGATATTGGGATTCCTTGACTTGGTGTGTAATCTAGAAATAATCCATCCTACTGTAGAACCCTGCTATTCAAATACCAGACACCTGACTCCATGACACTGCACAGCACTGCTTGAGCACAGCCAGATAACTGATTCTTAATTACCTCTTTAAAGTTCTATAAACTCCTGTAGATCAGTGTTGGGCAGATCCAACATGCGCCAGGTTCCTCTTGGCTTCACAGGGCTCTCAATTAGGAAGTGATCCAGAAAAAAATAGTATTTCTGGCCCATGAAGACTGGATCTGCCCAACACTGATCTACAGTAGTGGGACCTAAACTGTACAAAAATAATTAGCGATCGGTGAGCTGGCAGTGCCCTGATTTTGCAAATTTAGACACAGAATGGAAATTGTAGTGTGCTCAGACCCTTGAGAACTATATCTGCCATTCTTGATGTAGACCATATAGATATGCTTGTGCTTGTGGATGTGATTTAAGAGCTCCCAGTAAACATTAACCACATAGCTTCAGTTTTAAGCACTGTATGCCTTATAATCTGTGTCAATGAGTGGAAATTACTGATCAGAATGAAGAAAGCACCTACTGTACACTGTCTAAACTGGTTTAATAGAACCTAGAGGTTAAAGTCTAACCTTGATTCATAAAACAATCAGAAGAATGTCAAAAAGACACTTCTAGTTGTTTCTGGAACTTGTGCAGGGAAATCAAATTTCTTTTCTCAGCACTTAATTCTAACCAAGTCACCTGAGTGCTGTAAATCAAATCATATTGCATTTTAAACTATTGCTCAACAGGAGTGACAAAGCATACAAGGCGGACCAAAACTCACTTCTTTCGTGTCTTTGCAAACCAATGATTTAAGGGTGACCTATATGGATTCGTTTGGTTTATAAACTGAAAACCAAGGGTTTCGCTCAATTTGAGGTCCAAGTGTTTGGTTGGAACAGAAATTGAAACATTCCGGAGACATGCTCAGTAATGTACTGTTCCATATAGTAACGACCCCCACATGCCTGTCCTTACTTGACATAGACTTATAGAAGAACTTCATTTGTCCACAAGGAACTTTAATTAAAGTACTCGTAGAATCATTTGTCAAATGAGCAACACATTATATTACACAGTAGCCAGTACTGTTACCAAATGACTGGAACTACATGAATGACTTATTATTATTAAAGACAGAATCTCAACCCCTCACTGACTCATCAATGTACTTTTCCCCCCTTCTAAATGTAATATAATTACAAGAATAGATCTCTCTCACAAATTTATATTCCTGAGCTCTTACCCCCCCCACCAGCTCAGTCAACTAAATTGCGAGGATCGATCATGCTTAACCAGAACAAGGATTGTTTCAATTCAATTAAACTTTATTGTCATTAAACATACACAGGTGCATAGTATAATGAAAAGTGTTTCTCATTAGTCACTCAGGTGCAGTATATAAATAGGACAGAAGATAAGACAATAGATAGTAACACAATAGCAATAACATAACATAACATAACATAACATAACATAACATAACATAACATAACATAACATAACATAACATAACATGTTTAAGGACTTACCAGTGGTGACAGCACATGTCTCATCAAAGCCATCAGGTGTGTCTCCTATTGGCTGAGTAAATAACAGATATGGCCAACAGTACCAATCCTGATGACTCACAGAAGAGGCACCTTCTCCTTGAAATAGGACTGTGGCTGGTAATTGCTCACTCTTTAGGGGGTAGACATTGTAAAAAAAGCTCTCAATTTATCAGGAGGGTTCGTAAGTTGGCTGTTTGTAATGTAAGTACAGGGTTTGTTACTAGTAAATTACCAAACACAAATCTTGGGGAGGATTCTCTAGATTGAGTTACCTTTCATTGAGAGAGAACCTCAAGAAAACTGTGGATTCTTACAAAGCCAGCAGCCATGGAGTACTCTGCCACTCACAACTGGCAACCCACTGGAGCTCAGTAGGTGTGAGCCTGGTCAGTACCTGGATGGGAGACCACCTGGGAAAAACTAAGGTTGCTGCTGGAAGAGGTGTTAGTAGGGCCAGCAGGGGGCAGTCTCCCTGCGGTCCATGTGGGTCCTAATGCCCCAGTATAGTGACAGGGACACGATACTGTAAAGATGTGCTGTCCTTTGGATGAGATGTGTGTCATCCCAGGATGTTTCTCGAAAAGAGTAGGGGTGTAACCCTGGTGTCCTGGCCAAATTTCCCATTGGCCCTTCTAATAATCCCCATCTGTGAATTGGCTTCACTACTCTGCTCTCCTCCCACTAATAGCTGGTGTGTGGGGAGCGTTCTGGTGCACTATGGCTGCCGTCGCATAATCCAGGTGGGGCTGCACACTGGTGGTAACATGGAGTGTCCAGAAAAGTGCTATATAAGTGTAAGCAATTAATATTATTATTATTATAACTGTATATACTAGCTAGCAGAAATATAGTTATTTAATAAAAACAGCCAATGGTGTTGGTGTGGAGCACTCCACCAGGTTAACACATTTCTGGATTCCTCCAGGGTTAAGGAAGCACATCCAGAGGTAAAAGGCACTGGACGTGACGGCTGTATACTGTAGAAGTGGGGTATTCTCCCTCCTGTATTGCACAAGGTTCATTGCTGAACGTGGAGGGCAGGTAAAGACTTTCCACTAGGGAGCAGAATTCATGAGTGGACTTCTAAACGTGATCTCCCTTTTTGTGCAGACAAACTGAGGTTACAAATGTTTCAAGACAGGTTATCAGGCCAAAAGACTAGTTTCCGAGGGCTTACATTCAGTGTTTCATCCGGAAAACGTTGGTCGGTGACTGGTCACCGCTCTGTTTCTGGGCTTCTGGCTTAATAAACTTGACGCTTGGTATGTCAGACCACTGGTAGGTTGGCTGCTGATTCCCACTGAGCGGAGGTAATATTTAACTGAACGGTTTGCTCCAAGAGCCATCAACTTTATCATGAGTGCCACTGTCTGAAACTCGAAAAAAGGAACGCGTCCCCCTTTAATTTTAAAGCCCGGCGTCTTTAAAGCGCGTTCCCTCAAAAGTTAAATGACGCAAGAGCTTTTGAAAAAAGTGCCGAATCCACAGTTTCGTGACGATTGTGAGACCTTTGCACTTGGTGTAGTCTTTTATGGCTCAGCCGGGCTGTCAATACGCAATGGCCCGGAATGTAGATTTTAATCCTGGGAGGAGTTCGTCGCGGAAGTGAGCGCTCGGCGTGGGGGGCGGACCCTCCTTATCGCCTCTAACAGACCGGGTTTCGCTTTCCAAGCCGAGCTTTGTGACACTGAGCGTGTGGCTGTAGCTCACTGCTACTGCTCTCCAGGCGTCATGGCTGGGACGATAAAGAACGTCGCGTTATTCGGCGCCACGGGAATGACCGGCCTGGTGACCCTGCCCCAGGCTGTCGGCGCAGGTAGGAGTCTAAACCGTGTGAAACTCGAGGCCACGGCCGTGGATCGCGAGCTGATTTAATCTTACCTCCGCAGCCCCGAGCGCGGACACGGGCTGCCCATCGACAAGTTGCAGCTGTAGCGTAACTGCTTGACGAATTAGGCAGCTGCGAAGTTTGGTATACTTATTAAATCAAGGGCACTATTTACCTTTTTTTTTGGTATCGTTAAGACTCGGTAAGGTAAAACATTTAGAGACTTTAGTGCGTTGCTTGTTTTTGAAAGCTGTCTTGTCCATCTTGACTGATCTAACCATCACGTCAGCTGTCTCCGCGGAATTTCTAAACAATCCATTAACGATGCCAAAGGGGGCTTTTTTAGTAAAATAATGGAATGCTATTAAGGTCAATGCTACTGACATTAAAATTATATTAATTCAGTCGTTGAAATCTGTTTGTTCTATTTAACAAGCAAGCGATTATTCCGCCGTCTCGTATTAGACGAATTTTTTGATGCGTTAAATATATTAGTGAACTTCATTAATCAGTGATCTGTTTCGCATACAGCCCGTGATACAGAAATCGCCTTGACTAATAAAGGAAAAACTTTTAAAAAATACTTGGTATTAGTGTAGTAGGCTTGTTTCATGCACTTATGTTGCTTCCTTTAAGACGGAGCGAAGATCCTTTAAAAACAGTCGTGTAATGCTGGCAGACCAGGTGCTGATTTTCGGCTGAGTCACGGTTGCAGATCGCCTGCTGCAAGGGAGATAAGTCACGAGGTGTCCAGATAGTTCCCTTATCCTTCTGGAACAGATGGGTTGGGCTCGATTCACTTTGAGCTCCGTTCTCTGTGCACACTCGGGCGCTACAGTATGGTAACGGTGCCGTCCTTGCGCCTCTTGGGAGAGCGCTTCTCCATTGCTATGGAGAAGGGCGACATGTGACCGTTTTACCCACGTAACTGAAACAAGTGCGAACAGCAGCTTTGCTTGTATGAGCCGCGCATATATTTACCTCTCGTCCGGCCGTCTGAGCCTCACGAACGCTGCACTGTCGCTAATCTGTACAAACACCTTCTCGTGGAAAAGTCAGCGTCAATGACGAATTGTCCAGTAACGAATGACCTAGTTATTTAAAACGGGAGTGAAAGCTGTTGGGGTGCCATCAGAACAAAAGGCCCATGCTCGCTGTGGACTTTCTAAAAGTAAAACAGGTGAGCAACCTCGACTATTCAAGATGAGTTTGAGGGATTTAGATGAACCTTTTCGGCTTACACTGTCGGTAAAAGTATACTTTATTGGGGAAAGAAGATGCACACTGCCCCCTAAAACATGATACAATCTAGATCTTGTTTAAACAAAGTGAAGGGCGGGTCTGTTCGTTTTGAGGAAGTTGGTTTAAAAAAAAAAAAGAATTTGCTCCCCGACAGGAGCTGGACCTTAGTTTATTAGCCTGTTAAATGTTAGGGCTCCCTCCCTTGTGCCTGAGGGGTAACACTCAGCTCGTGACGGGAGAGCATGAGCTGAGTGACTGGCTGGCTGATTCTGTGCACATGCACTCGAACAGCTCGATTGTCTCTGGAGCAGAGCTCTGGAACTACCCCCGCTTCCTGGCAATACGAGTCCTTAACGGCTCTGTGCTCCGGCCCTGATCCGCAGCGCTCTGGAACTACAGGAGTCATAAACCCCACCTGCCTTGTGCTTGTGTCTCTTCAAACGGGCTCTCTTAGTGCAGAAAATGCGCGGGATTTTCAAACCAATGGCGGTTTTGAGCAGCCACAAACTGCACGAAAGGCGCCGCACGCGGTAGCCTTCCTTCTGAGTTGTGGCTGTGCTGATGAAGAGCAAGGCGGTGTCCAGCAGCAGGTGTTTATTTCAGAAGGTGCTGACCGCGGTCAAACCGCGCGCTGTGTCCGCAGGCTACAATGTGACGGTGCTGGTGCGAGACCCCTCCCGCCTGCCCCCGGACCACAAGGCCTCTAGGGTGGTGGTGGGCGACGTCCTGAACAAGGAGGACGTGAAGAAGACGCTGGAGGGGCAGGACGCCGCCATCATCATCCTGGGCACCGGAAACGACCTGAGTGAGTCTGAGCGCTGGGAGCCCACTGGTGAAACCCCAGGGGTTACCTGATGTCTTCTGCGCCTTTGGAGCCATTTAAAATGAATGAATATATTTAAAGATCGAAGGTTTAAAATGGCATTTTGCTTGTAAGATTATTTGAAGTTGGATTTTAAATGATCTAACCTTAAACCCTTTCCCCAGAAATACACTTCACTTAACATTTATTTTAAACAGTATAAACTTCAGTAAAGTGCCTGTACTTCCTAAGACGGTGAAGAAGGCTAAGATATGTCCCCAGATCCTCACTACCTTTTACAGATGCACTACAGAAAGCACACTGACAGGCTG